TCTGGCACGTCTAATTTCTGGTGGGATACATGGTCTGGACTGGGTGCCTTGCATCGCCAGGTCGACGGTTGTAGCGGATATTGGACTGATGGAGTGGGCGATATGTATCGTTCTGATTTTATGATTGATCATGATGCGTTGCCACCTGACCTTCTACGGCAGTTGCGCCTTGAGCCTCCATCACTTGTCTCTGATCATGTGGATATTCCGGTCTGGACCCTCTCTACGGATGGGAAGTTTACCCTTGCTTCTGCTAAGGAACTGCTTAGACCGAGGAGGGTTGATGATGTTGAGGATACTGTGTTTAAGAGGTGTTGGCAGCGACACCTACCTTGGAAGATGTCCTTTTTGGTGTGGCGCGTGTTGGAGAGGCGTCTTCCCACTGATGATGTCCTGACGAGATTTGGGCTTGCTTTACCCTCACGATGTCTCTGTTGCTCGTCGCCAGGACGGGAGACCATTACACATATATTTTATCAGGGGAGCATGGCGCAGCGTGTTTGGACTTATTTCACCGAGTCTGCCCGTATCATGGGCGCACATCACAGTTTGAGGTCCGTCGTGAGCATATGGTGGGCGGAGAGGCCGAGGAGCAGGATGCTCTCGTTCCTGTTCCACCGCCTGCCGATGATCATTCTTTGGGAGCTTTGGACGCACTATGCTGCGTGCAAGTATGGGGATGCTCGCCCCAACTTTGCACGCATTATCTTTCGGGTGGCTACGGCGGTGTCGCAGTGCATCTATCGTCGCTGGCCTAGCGGAGGTCTTTTGCCTCCCCGATGGTCGGTGATTATGGAGCACGTTCGACGAGGATCTGGACGCAGGAGGGTGGTGCCGATTTGGTGGGACCCACCGCCGGATGGCGCGGTCAAGGTGAATGTGGCGAGAGCCCCGCTCCGTGGGGCATATGCAGCGATCGTGCGTGACTCGACAGGTAAGTTTCTCTATGCTATTTCTTCTATTGCATTCAGGTGGGATCCAGTGGAGCGTGGAGGGATGGACGTGCTTCTTCGGTGTATTCAGTGGTGTATATCTCAGTCCTTCTTGCGTGTCCACGTGGAGTCCCACCATTCAGAGTTTGCTTGTTTCTTTAGGGAGGGTACCCCGTGGTACCTTCATGATGTTTATGCTAGACTGCGTTTCCTCTGTTCTACTGCGACGGTTCAGTGGTTTCATTGTGACGTTCGGGTGAATGGTCCGACGACTGAGTTGGCATTGTGGGCCGTGGATAGTACAGAGGGGATGCGGGAGTTTACTAATCTGCAGGATCTTGATATTCGGGTACGATCTCTCCTTTCTATGGACGATCTGCCCTTCTTTCGCATTGATGAGGATGGGGGTAACCCCTAATAGCACTTAGTTGAGTGCCTTAACGACCGCGTCTGCGGTAAAGAGGCGCACGTATGTATCCGCGGTTAAAGGGTGCCCGTTGGTTCCCGCGGTTTGGGACCTCGTGTTGTACCGACAGTGAACGGTGCCTTTGTGAGATGATGGGCGTAGTCTTGCAGAGTTTCTTTCGTCCCCGTCGGCTCCTGCGGCTCCTGGGGTACGTTGGCGCTAGCGTCTGTGGTTTTAGTGCCCGTAGTTGCCAGCGGTATTTGGCATCCTAGCCCGGGCAGAGGTGGCTGTCCGGTAAAGGCTTTTTCCATCTCGCACTTCATCTGAGTGCCTTAACGGCCGCGCCTGCGGTCAAAAGGCGCACGTATGCGTCCGCGGTAAAGGATGCCCGTCAGTGCTTGCGGATTGAGGATTTGAGCACCCGTGGCGCACACGGAAAGTGCGTATGCGTGGTACCGTCATTAAATCGGTGCCCTCGTCGGGAGGCTGGGTGGGGCCCGGCGAGGTTTTTTCCGCCTGCGTCAGTGCTTGCGTATGAGGTTAGAGCACCCGCCATCTGCCGGCGGTAATGGGCTAAGGGTTGGCCATTGACCCATAGTGGTATCTCTTTTCTTTCTTTCTTTCTTCTATCCATTTTTGGACTTCAGTTCTTGGATCACACTTCTTTTGGGCATCCTCATCTTGTTGGAGTTTACTCCTGGGATTGGGCCATTTCGATTGATCTGTTCGGCTGGGCTTGGACTATTGGGCTGAAGCATTGGGTCGTGGCTGTTGGGCTTCGGTTCCTAATGGGCTTCTCGATGATCAGGGCTGGCACGGATGCTTGGTGGACAGGTCGCTTTGGGCTTGGTTCGCGGCGGGCCTCGTTGTTTGGGCTGGAGGACGCTGGCCTTGATTCTTTATGGCCGTGGTTTTGGGCCGTTCTTGCATTGGGCCGAGTTGGATTGGGCTGCTTTTGGACTCTCATGGTTTGGGCCTCGCTTTGGCTTATATTTTGGGCTCATTCTTGGCTCACTTGGGTTATTTTGCACCTTTTATTTTCACTTCTTCATTTTAGTTGGGCTTTTCT